TGCCCTTTAACCTTTGCTTCGTAGGAGATGGCAGGGGATTTAGGAGCTTTGCCCAGGAAGTGAGTGGAGGTTCTACATCTTAGTATAACAAGGGGAAGAAAATGAGGGGCAGCAAGCTCAGAGGCCTTGAGGCAAGAGCAGTCTCCGTGGCTGGAGTCTGCATAGAGCAGCTTTGGGGTCAGGTGAAGATGGAGCTGGACTAAAGCTCTGTCAGCGTTGTGTGGTGGTAGCCAAGATTAAAGGGATTTTTAAAACGTGCAGGACTATATTTCCCAGCACTGGGAGCCTGAGTCAAGAATGTCTAAGGTTTCTTGGAAGCAGCCTTAACAGAGTTCTAGGCCAGAAACGAGAAAAGGGCAAGGGAAATGGCTCAGTGAGTTACAGCTTGACGCTAAGGCGTGAGTGGGAAGCCCAGAACCCCTGTGGTGGAAGGAAGGAAAGAACAGACTTCCACAAGTTGGCATCTAGTCCCTCCAGGCATGCACACAGACATGCACGCAGAATAAATAAAAAAACAACCCCAGAAGAGACAAGATGGGGAAGGGAAGGATCTTTTGGAACCCTCTGAGGTTAGCGACAACCTCTGTTGCTAAGGGCCCTTATTATGGTTCTGTGCTCTCCAGGGGCAATAACTAGAGATAGGCCCACGACTAATGCACTGGCCAGAAAGTACAAGGTGTGTGTGTGTGTGTGTGTGTGTGTGTGTGTGTGTGTGTGTGAGAGAGAGAGAGAGAGAGAGAGAGAGAGAGAGAGAGAGTAACCTGTGCAGACCATATGAGAGGGTGTCTCTGGCTTCCAATTGTTTGGGGCTATGGAGGAGCTCCTGGCAGTAGGATGGAGGACATTGGGGTGTCTATCACTATGGCTGCATTTCCACAAGCATATAGCAGCCCAAACCTTCCCCAAGGCCAACACACATCTTCAGGCACCTGCTCTGCCAAGATTTCTTTCAAGTTTCTGTAGCCAATGGACTACAGACTAGATGTCAAGTGATCTGTGATGAGAAAGTTGTACAACCTTTCTCTTTTTCATCTTTTTCCCCCTATGTTTTTTTTAGAGATTTATTTATTTATTTACGTATTATGTATACAATGTTCAGTCTGCATGCCAGAAGAGGGCACCAGTTCCCATTATAGATGGTTGTGAGCAACTGTGTGGTTGCTGGGAATTGAACTCAGGACCTCTGGAAGAGCAGCCAGTGCTCTTAACCTCTGAGCCATCTCTCCAGCCCTCCCCCTATGTTTTTTGAGACAGGGTTTCTCTGTGTTGCCCAGCCGTCCTGGAACTCACTCTGTAGACCAGGCTGGCCTCAAACTCAGAGATCCTCCTGCCTCTGGAGGCATGTGCCACCATCACCCGGCCTCTTTTTCATCTTGAGACAAGACTCATGTAGCTCAGGCTGGCCCAGAAGCCGACCTTGAGCAACTGATCTTCCTACCTCAGGCACCTAAGCCTGTGACTTGAAGCCAGTGCTGCTGTTTCTGACTTTGAAGGTCAATTTTAATAAAGACATACAGGGCAGGGCACCATTGCTCGATTTGAATAATACATTTTTAAGTGTGTGTGGGGTCTTTGCCTGCACGTATGTCTATGTGCCACTTGTGTCCCAGAGGCCAGCTGAGGATGTCAGCTGCTCTGAGAGAAGAGTAACAAGATGGTGGGAGCTGCATGGACCATGCAGGTCCTTTGGGAGAGCATCCCAAAAGGACACTTAGTGACTGAGCTGTTTCTCTACCCCAAGAACTCTTTTTTCAATTTAAGAGGTTGCTGGAAATTTGAGGGTAGCCTGGTCTACATACTCATGTTTCAAGTGTGTCTTAAGTTTATTAATTAAAATATCAAATTGAGCTGGGCAGTGTTGGCTCACACCTTTAATCCCAGCACTCAGGAGGCAGAGGCAGGCAGATCTCTGTGAGTTTGAGGACAACCTGGTCTACAAGAGCTAGTTCCAAGACAGCCTCCAAAGCCACAGGGAAAACCTGTCTTGAAAAAACAAACAAACAAAAAATAAATTAAATAAATTGAAAGTTGGGTTGTGGTGGCACAGGCCTTTATGTAAGCCAGATAAACTCTTCCTCCCCAAGTTTCCGTTCATCATGAGACTCATCACAGACTCATCACCCTGACTAAGACACAGACTAATGTAATGTCTCCAGAATCCACGGCAACGGCAAGAGGGTTGGAAGTCTTGGGTGGCAAAAAGGGAAGGGGAGAGCAGAGTGGTGCTGTTTTGCTGCAGCTGTGGGTGATGAAACAGGAACCACAAACTCAACAGAACCCACGTGGAGTTATGTCTAGACCCAGCCAACTCCCGGGTCACCCCAACCCAAGAGTGAGGGAGGGACCTATGTACCCTGAGTAGCTAGCATGGAGGAGTGTACAGCTGTGGTCCCGAGAACTCGAGTACTCAATGCAGAGTGCAGTTCAGAATGACTTGTAAACAAACCCTTATTCCTCAAGTCTGAGTGTGTGCTGGGAAGATACAGTTTGGGGGTTGGACAGACAGCTCAGCACTTAGGGGTGCCTGCTGCTTTTCCAGGGGACCCAGATTTGATTCCCAGAGCCCATGTGGCAACTCACAACCCTGTGTAACTCCAATGCCAGGCCTCTTCTGGTCTCTGTGGGCATCTGGCACACACGTGGTAGGCAGCCTGACATACATCCAGACAAAACACCCTTACACATAAAAATCAAGCGTAAGAGAAAAGATAAGAAAATGCAGCTTTCATCTCAAGTCAGAAGGCCACTGCACCTCCCCTCCCTTCCCAAACCAGGGGCTTATGGTGAAGAAGACAGTGTTCCCCACACTGCCTCTGGGCTGGGAATTGAGGCTGGGTGGAGAATAGCCTAAATGCCTCACCCCGGGATCCATAGCCAGCAGGGGGCAGCACATAACTGTCCACGGCATCTGGGTCCCGCACCCTCGGCTTAGTTACCTTAGTGAGCAGGCTTCTCCACAGCTCACTGGTGGCCAGTTAGTCCTTCCCAGTGAGTTTACCTGTGGTAATCCAGGTGGCCGAGAGAGTATTATGGGAGAGAGCAAGCACTGGAAGTGCTCCAAAGCCATTCTTTTTTGTTTGGTTTGTAAAGACAGGGTTTCTCTGTGTAGCCCTGGCCGTCCTGGAACTTGCTCTGTAGACCCGGCTGGTCTCAAACTCAGAGATCCTCCTGCCTCTGCCTCCCAAGTGAGGGGATTAAAGGCTGTGCCACCAGCAGGACTAAACCAGTCTTAACAACTAGGTTACTGCTTCTTCAACAGAAAGCCACTTGGCTGGGAAGCAATTAGACAATATGTTGCAAAACAGAGCTACACACAGATACAAAGAGGGGGAATGTATCGGTTTAAAAGATGGGTTTGAGGGCTGGAGATGTTCAGTGGGCAAAAGCACCTGTGGCTCTTGCAGAGGATAGGCCTCCAATTCCCAGCACACACATGGTGGCTCCCAACCATCTGTGACTCCAGTTCCAGAGGATCTGACGCCCTCTTCTGACTTCCATAGGCACCAGGCATGCACATGGTACACATGCATACATGCAGGCTAAACATACGCAAAATCTAAAAATTATTTACTTTTAAAAAAAAAACTAAACATGGAAAAGATGGGGATAGTGAGATTATGGGTAAAGTCCTTGCCACCAAGGCTGACGGCCAACCTGACTTCTATCCTTAGGACCCACATGGGAGAAAGCGGGAGCCCACTCCCACAGGTTGTCTTCTGGCCTCTACACACTTGCTGTGGCACATATTACCTCGTACACACACACACACACACACACACACACAGACACACACAGACACACACACACAGA